CACCTCGTCGCCACCTCCCAGCCACCTCGTAGCCGCCTCATAGGCACCTTGTAGCCCCCTCATAGCCACCTCGTAGCCACCTCGTAGGCACCTCCCAGCCACCTCGTAGCCACCTCATAGCCACCTCGTAGTCACCTCCCAGCCACCTCATAGCCACCTCCCAGCCACCTCCCAGCCACCTCGTAGCCACCTCCCAGCCACCTCCCAGCCACCTCGTAGCCACCTCGTAGCCACCTCGTAGCCACCTCTTAGCCACCTCGTAGCCACCTCATAGGCACCTCATAGGCACCTCATAACCACCTCGTAGCCACCTCGTAGCCACCTCCCAGCCACCTCGTAGCCGCCTCATAGCCACCTCGTAGCCACCTCGTGGCCACCTCATAGCCACCTCATAGCCACCTCGTAGCCACCTCATAGGCACCTCATAGCCACCTCGTAGCCACCTCGCAGCCACCTCATAGCCACCTCATAGCCACCTCGTAGCCACCTCGTAGCCACCTCGTCGCCACCTCCCAGCCACCTCGTAGCCGCCTCATAGGCACCTTGTAGCCCCCTCATAGCCACCTTGTAGCCACCTCATAGGCACCTTGTAGCCACCTCATAGCCCCCTCGTAGCCACCTCATAGGCACCTCGTAGCCACCTCATAGCTGCCTCATAGCCACCTCGTAGCCACCTCCCAGCCACTTCATAACCACCTCGTAGCCACCTCGTAGCCACCTCGTGGTCACCTCGCAGCCACCTCATAGCCACCTCATAGCCACCTCATAGCCACCTCGTAGCCACCTCGTGGCCACCTGGTGGCCACCTCCCAGCCACGTCACCTGGACCACCTTCTGCCTCTCCCAGCTCTCAGCACTGCTGGTGATTTTTCTGATACAGGAACAGAGCTGGGCAGGGCGGTTTCTCGTATTCTGGCCCTCCTGCAAGACAGCAAAAAAAAAAGAATTTTAGTTTAATTCAATTCAACATTACCTGGAAAAAAAAAAAGGGACGCGTTCTATCAGCTGCAGTGATTGAGCTTTTGTAATAAATCGATGTTTTCACACAGTGACAGCAAAAGAATTTCTTTTTTTATCTTTCCAGTTTCTGTTTTAATAGAAAGAGAAAAAATAAATCTTGATGCTTTCCTGTACCTGCATTACGAGTTCTTTGCCTCTTATGCACTGCACTCCTGTTGCATCAGGCAGACCTGATGCCAGAAGCCAAATTTCCAGCAGCTTTCTGGACGTGCATTTGGCGCACAGTTTGGGACTGCATTCTCCCGTGGTTGTAAATCTTACACGTTTTGCTTTGTTACTTCTAAAGAAAATTAAAAAGGGGGGGGGAAAATATATATATATATCCTTCTTTGTACATATTTGTTCCAAGTTTGAGGACTCTGTCTCCATAAAGCTCAAAAGATCCTTCCCTTTGTGGAGTGACATAATTTCCACCAGTGGTGAACTCGGTTCTTTTAACTTCATCTCCATTGCAATTAAACATCC